CTGTTGATGAGCAGTGGAGACGATGATCTCCTTCTGCTCAGGATCAGGAACAATGGAAAGCAGCAGGTCAGAGAGCAAGCAGTTTTGGTGCTGCTGCACAGACTTTTTCATGGTTCCCTACCTATGTGTGCATTCTTGAGGAAATACCACCCACAGAGACTTCTGCATGCACATGTACCCACACACCTTGAACTGTAATGTAAAGCCCAGCTATTTCCATTTGTTCGTTCTCTGACCGGAATCACAGTCTATGATCTGCCGTCTCAACCTGCAATCGAATTTTTAAGAGAATTGCCTCTCTGACAGACAAAATATATTTCCCGATAATGTCTGAACAAATACCCACCTAGCGCAAACATTCTAGAAAACTAAATATAAATAGATGGTTATTATTCTAATCAATTACCTGTGTTGTGTATTGATTCTGAACAAATCCATAGCCTCCTAAATTACAAACATGGCTTGCCCTGCTCCTTTATTTCTCTCCCTGAAAATGTGCACAGATGAGTGAAAGGTGATGATGGAGAGGAAGAGTTGATGCGTGAGTGTTGTGAACTGCAGTGAAATGTAGTAACCTTGTGCCAGTTAACTTGACTGAAGCATACACGATATTCCATTAAAGCAGATTGAAATCTCCACTGGGTCGTGTAAACCCTGGTTATATGGCCTCAGCTGTGATGGATATATGCACAGGCAAACTATGTACATCAATAAAATCACTTAGGTAAATCATCTGTTTCCCAATCTCTGAATGTGAAAATTGTGTGTTTCCTTTAGAATAAGGAAAAAGGAAGAAATTTATCAAAAGTGTCTCAATCACACTATGGTTTTCAGTCAAATATAACAAAAATATAAAATGCTTTTCAACAATGCTTTACAATGAATTAATGGCACCCCTATCTTCATATTTTCTTCCATAACCTTTTGAGGCAATTGGTGCAATAACAGTCCTGTAAATTTCAATGAGACTTCTACTCCTCTCAGCAGATATTTAAGTCCACTCCTCATGACCAAACTGCTCCAGTCGTCTCAGGTTTGAAGGTGCCTTTTCTAGAAGCAATTTTTCAGATCCTTCCAAAGATGTTCAATAAGATTTCGTCCAATGTTTTCCTGTTGGAGACCCATGACCTATGAATTACATCAAGCTGTCTGACCATAAAGTACCATAAGTAGGTATGTGCCCCATGCACTGCATGAGTTGGTTACAAGAAAGTCTATGACTCGACTAAAGGTAATCAATACAGGGGTTTTTACTCCCAAAGGGGAGAATAGTAGTTTTAAGGAGGGCTAGAGCTGCCTTGGAATATGAAAGGCCATGAAGAGGCCATAAGGAAAGCACCAATAGCCAAATGCCCGTTACGAGTAAGGCAAGTTCTGAGAAGTCAGCTCCATGGTAAGAAAAAGGTCCAGGCAATCACCAGCTATGACTTACCAGTACTAAGATACCATAATACCCAATATTATGGCCCATGCAGTAGATTCAGGACACTGATGTTAAAACACGAATGCAACTTACCATGCATGGTGGATTCCACCGCAATCCAAGGAAGCAGAGGCCTAGTGAGCATCAGAGCCACCATTGAAGATGAAATATCAAAGCTCCAAGAATACAAAAGAAGGATTGGCCCAAAGGGATGAAGCACTTGGCTAATGTCTCAGGCATTGGACAAATGCTAAAGATGGCTAAAATGAAAAGATCTAAGACAATTTTCTCTCGGATCGGGTGTGAAATCGGATTTGTCGTGTTCTGGCCTCTTTAATCTGTCATCCGATTTTTTTCCATGTAAAGGCCAGAACACACCGAAAAAGATTTCACGTCCAATCCGACAGAAAAAAGTTTGAGACAAAGTGGTGGCATTTAGCAGTCATTGGAAGTCAATGTAGATGATCACAACTGACACAATTTTATGCAAGGGGGCTTGCGTAGGTCTGACTGAGACCCCAGGTCTATTTTAGTGGGAAATATGCAGCAATTCATTCATTGGATTTCTATTATAGGCACATGAACATTATCTGTTCTGGTTTGAGATGCTGCAGAGACTCGCTTTTCTTTGTAGAATGTGCTGGTGTTTTATTTGTTTTTTTATGACTGTTCATAATCTGTCCAAGTCAACTGTCGTAATTTTTAATTTGTGCATAGCACAGAGTAAGAAGTGAAAAAAATATGCGCACATCTGCCCACCCTGCCAAGTCGTAGCCTCACTATACGCAGTCAGTGTGACATGGGAAATTCAATGTAATTTAGTTTATTTATGAAGCTGCAATTCACAACACATTATCTCAAGGCACTTTACAGTTCACCGGATCATCCAGTGAAATTGATTCAAAGTTTTCTATCTAAGGAAAACCAGTTGATTGCATCGACTCATTGACTCGAATGCAATCCCTCACACTAAGCATGCTTCTAGCGACAGTGGAGAGGAAAAACTTCCTTTTAACAGGAAGAAACATCCAGCAGAACCAGGCTCAGTGTGAGCGGCCATCTGCAGAGGGCAGCTGGGGTTCAAGAAGACAGAAGCAGAGATACAAAAAGCAGCTGTAAAAGGCGGCCCCTCCAGGAAACACAGCCAGGCAGACGAGCTCCGAGCAAAATTCCACTCCAGCCAATCACAGTCAGAGAAACAGGACTACACTGGAAAAACAGGCACATCTCCAACATCTATAAACAAAGGTGTTGATGGCAGCAGCACAGCTGATATTTCTCTCCAGGATGGTGTGACGGCCAAACAGGAACAGACGAGACAAAGCTACTTTGAGGAATAAGCAGAGAGAGTATAACGTTAGAGATTGAACTAACAGATTCTGCAGAGAGGGAGAATAGAGATGGAATGAAGCAGAATGATGAAATAGCGGACACTATGTCCTCCAGAAGTCTAAGCCTATAGCAGCATAACTATAGAGATAGCTCAGGATAACCTGAGCCACTCTAACTATAAGCTTTATCAAAAAGGAAAGTTTTAAGCCTACCCTTAAAAGTAGACAGGGTGTCTGCCTCACGGACTAGAACTGTTAGTTGGTTCCACAGGAGAGGAGCCTGATAACTAAAAGATCTGTCTCCCATTCTACTTTTAGAAATTCTAGGAGCCACTAGTAAACCTGCAGATTGAGAGTGACGTGCTCTGTTATGAACATAAGGAACAATCAGATCTCTGATATAAGATGGAGCTTGGCCATTTAAGGCTTTATATGTGAGAAGGAGGATTGTTTTCATTCTATTGTTGATTTAGTAGGAAGACAATGAAGAGAAGCTAGGATAGGAGAGATATGATCTCTATTTTTAATTTTCATCAGAACTCTGGCTGCAGCATTTTGGATCAGCTGAAGTCCAGCCTTGAAGTAACACATGCATGGACTAGTTTCTCAGCATCACCCCTGGACAGGATATTTCAAATTGTTGCAATATGTGAAGTGACTAACTAATCAACTTCTTTTTCAAAGACTGTGGTCCAAAGACTATTACTTCTCTTTTATCTGCATTCAGAAGGAGAAAGTTGGGCGAGCTCCATGTACGGAGGCATTAGCCTTCGAAACGAGTGACTCTGGTTTGAATCTGGCCTGTGGTCCTTTCCCGCATTTCTCTCCCCCTCTCTCATACCCCCTTTCCTGTCACCCTACTGTCCATAAAAACAAGCCACCAGTGCCATAAAAAACTCAAAAAAAGAAGCAGAAAGTTAAGAGTCATCCAGGTTTTTATGTCTTAAACACATGCCTGTAATCTATGTATGTAATTGGCTAGCTTCATGTGGATTTATAGACAGATATAGCTGGGTATAACACTGATCCCTGTGGTACTCCACAAGTAACCTTGCTCAAAGGTAGGAAGATTCGTTATTAACGTGAACAAACTGAAATCGATCAGATAGATAAGATTTAAACCAGTCTAGTACTGTTACTTTAATTCCTACAAAATATTCATAAAATATATTATTGTATAAGAGATTAAAGTCATGCCCAACTGGTGTGTTCAGGCCTTTATGTTGCAAAGGTCTTGAGTGTCATGCTATTGGCACCATAGGCTGGGTCCTTCTGTTATTGATGCCACCGGATACCAGCCAATGGTGCCAGATTATTCGACCTTCGAGTCAGAAGCGCAGTAAAAATGGTCCCACCCGCCATGTCCGCCTCTCTGGCTTCAATGCGCGCAACGGACACAAGGGAAACAGAATTTCATACAACACCGGGACATAGAACGTCTCAGAGTCAGTCAGAGCTTCACATACTTGGGACATCAGTCTGTTTAGCAACAGCTAGTGGTGACAACTTCTTCTTCTGCACAGAAATGCTACAGGCTGCTTTCCTGTGCATGCTGCCACTACTGGTTAATTCCAGTACTGCACATTTTACTCAGATCAGCTTAGAAGCAAGATCCAGGGCTTGAGATCCCAATCGCGACATCCCAAGTAGCCGCCCCCTAAATCCGCCACTGTACATGACCTAATTTCAGAGCTTGTTTGTTTTGATTTCTGTATATGTATCGGATGCTTTGGTTGTTACCAACATGTGGTGGAAAATACATGTCGATAGAACCTTTAGAAATAAGTTTACTGTGAAAATGTTCATCACAGTACCCATTTTTCAAAATTTAGATAGACAATATGAAAAGGATTGCAAAGTAACTGATTATAAGTGGTTATTACAACTTTAATAGCTTTAGAACGTTTAATGTTTTTTCTTAGATTTGATTTTAAATTTGAAGGATTTTCTGGTTATGTGTTTCTGTTTTACCCCATTATAATCTCATGGTAGGATTTTGGGTATCATCTTGGTATTAACAGTGGGCACCATTTGCCTACGCCATTTGAGCCTTTCTTGAAACGCTACTGTACACTATTCTCTAAACCTTTTAAAAAAAGACTTTAAAACGTCTTTCTTAATTTGCAAAAAGGAAAATTAATTTGCATTGGACTTTACAAAGTTTTACAGCAGAAAAAAAGGTAAACACCTTTGGCACTGCAGCGTGTCATAACAAGGTGTCCGTGGCTTCAGTGAGTTTGGCTCCAAGAACAGATGAATCGCCAGTGGAGGCAGAAACGCTCTCATGCTGCGCGCCACAGATCCAGTAGAAGTGCGGTAAGCTTCATTAAGAGGTCTGCCAACTTCCGCTGAGGAAAGGTGCGTCAAGTCAAACAGATTTAAGTTTTCTTCTTTTATTTTGCGAAGAGAGCAGAAACACCAAGCTAAATCCTTTCTCTTTGTGACTCAGGCTGGATCTGCTGTGGAGACCGCGGCGGTCTGAGATAAACAACTATAACATGCTTCTCTACATTTTTTTTTTTTTTTTTTTTCAGAAATATTCCTGCATCTGAAACCGGAACAGTTGCCCTAATACACGAGGCGAGGCATTTCATCGCGACGGGATTCACAGATTGAATATTAGTCATAAAAAAGAACTCTTTGATGACCAAAACAGGAAGATAAGTTTGTGGAAGGAAGCGAGAAGGAAATGACACCTAACCCTCTATTTCTGTTTCTCATTCTGTCTCTTACAAGTGAGTAAGACTAATCAAGTTGTAGTTTGTTCTGACATACAGTATTTTAACGGGGGATTTACATTGTGTTGTGCTTTTATACTGTATTAGATTTATAAACTGGCGTTGTCCATGGTGCTGATATCAATTTGATAGCCCTCATCGATAGACCTCTCCGCACACGTTTATACAGCTAGTAAAACAAAAATAAATGATTGTTTTATGACTTCTGTTTGCAAAAAAATTGTAAACTGAACATGTGAGTTTGTGGCCTCTAAAGATCTTATCTTTAACATCCTCAATACATTTAGTTAATTTATATACCAAACATATAATTTAAAAGTTACAAAAATCACTACTGTTGCTTTAAAAATCCAAAGAGCAGAAAAAGAGAAATACTTAGTGTCTATCTTATAAAACGCCTAAACATGTTTTCATTGAATATTTAATAGTTAACGTTGATAAAAATATGCTTTCTAATAATTAACATGGTTTTAAAACTGACTCTTATCAAGCATCTGGTGACTATGTGTAAAAATCAATTGTAACAGCATAATTTCCTAATTTATATATATATATATATATATATATATATATATATATATATATATATATATATATATATATATATATATATATATATTTTTTTTTTTTTTTTTTTTCATTTATTTATTATCATCACAGTGGATAGGGATGTTTCATTAATAATCAAAGACTTTCTCATTCTGTGGACTATAAATATGAAATGACACTGCGGCCCATTTCTTCTAGTAACAAGGCTGGACAAGCACCTATGTATAAGATGCCACCATGCCAAGTGAGCACAATTATAAGAGAGGTAAAGTAAATGTCCAGAGCTCCATAACGAAAACTAATATTCTGGGATCCTGATGTTTCCATAACAACCATTAGTTGATATGTAGATATCAAGTGGTTGGTGAGAAAAAAAAAAGGGGCCTTCCTGCCATCAAAAGTGTAAACCGGTGAGGTTGCTATGCTTTTCTTTGATGTGATGTGAAACTAGTGATGAAAATACTAATAAACATCAATTAAGTATTGCAAAGGTGTCTGTACTGCTGTGGACACCTTTGTCTTCTGATGACACTGGGAAAGATTTTACTGGGAAAATCTCTTCTGGTGGAAATTGCCTATAAAGTTGAAACTGGGTTGTCATCCGAACGTTCAGCAGAACAAAGAAAAAATTAGAAAATTTTTCAAAGGCTATCAAGAGCTTAATTGAAAAAAGAAAAGTGTTTTTGAGAGGGTTGAAGACCTAGAACTTTAAACATTTACTGTAGAAAGAGATATTATTAAAGATTCTGATCTCATTAGGCTTGTTAAATGTAATTGTAATTGTTTTTTAGCCAAAATGATTTTACCTTTATCTTTTGAAATAAAAGGTTGTGTAAACTCTATATCTCACACTGATATAGAAAAGTTTTCACCAAGCTACCTAGAAGACGTGCGTTTGTTGTGGTCATATTCTAAAAATATTCAAAAGTAAAAGCAGATGGCCTGTGTGAATAATTTAAAGAACACTACTTTTGTTCCTGTATTCAAGAAAGCCCTGAGTCTTTTTTCTGAGAACACATTTGAATGCCTCTTGTTTTAAAAGCAGAGTCTCTTATTGTAAATCTGCACTTTAATCTTCTTTTATTTACTTTTTGTTTTACTTATTTTCCCTGTAAACTTGTTGCACATTTAGCTTTTGCTTCCAAGCCTACATTATAAAAATAATGACTTTTTAACAGCATAAATTAGTAGAATAGGCAAGCCACATCAGCTAGGCAAGGCAAGAGAATACAGGTTCATTTATATAGCACATTTCAGAAGCAGCACAATTCAAAGTAATGTACATAGTAGGAAAACAACCAGAGAAAAGTACACTGCAAGATGATCCAAAAAGGAGAATATAATAATTGATTAAAAAAAAAGACAGGAAGTCAGTCTACAAACTTAAACAAATGGTTTTTAGATAGAACAGTCAAAGCCAACTCTAAGAAAAAAGAATGTTAATCGGAATTTAAAGGAATTAGGGATTCAACTCTTTTAGATTTTCTGGGAATTTAGTCCATGTTTGTGGACCATAAGAAAGAAAGGCTGCTTCTTCATGTTTGTTTCTGGTTTTAGGTATGCAGAGTAGATTTGAGGCCAAAAGGCCTGATAAATCTGTTGTTGTTGTTGATTAAAATCTTTGCATTTAGATGGTGAATAAGACAGGCTCTAATGTTGAGCCTTGGGGAATACCGCATGGGATTTATGTTATCTATGATGCAAAGTTACCTACTGACCCAAAAAAAGGTGCTCTCTTTTGACTAGGATCTAAACCAGTGCAGTTCTATACTATATAGGCGACCCAGTTTTTCAGGCGCTCTAATAAAATAAAGTGATCGGTGTTGAATAATACACTAAGATCCAATAATACCAGCAGTGTGTTCCCTCTATGATCTGCATTTATGAAGCCAGTGTCAGTGCTGTGGTTGGTACTGATGCCTGACTAGAAGACATCGAAAGAGGCTGTTCATTGTTTGGAAGCTGTTGAACTGTTGAAACAACCTTTCAATAATCTTACTAATGAAGGGAAGGTTTGAGATGGTTCGGTAGTTCTACAGTAGCAACTTGACCAGGTTGCTCTTTTTCAACAGCGGTTCAATGATTGCCTGAGAGAAAACACTGAAAGAAAGAAACATATTTATTATTTGAGTTAATTTAGATGTTATGACAGGCACAACTTTCTTAAGATAACCTTTAAAACATCAAGACAGGTGAAAGAAGAGCCCAATTGGTGTATTATCTCCTCTAAGTTTTTGTACTTAATTATTTGAACTTGAGAAATGTTGTCAAAATCAGTAATATTTGGAGACAACTGCCATTCTTATCGTTTTTTCAGTAAAGACGTTCGGAAATTTGATGCAGACTTTGGTAAGGTGGAGTTCAAATAGCATAGTCACTGGAGGGTTTGCTAGTGTGTTGACTGTAGCAAATGTGGTGCAAGCAATATTCATGTTTTTGCTGACAATCTCAAAGAATAAAGATATATATTATTTTCCAGTTGTTAGATCTGTGAAGTTTCTTTATATAGATATCATCGCAAACCTGGTCTCTAGTCTTTCCTCACCTGTGTTTAGTTTTTAACACTCCGTTTTTCACCTTTATTACCATTCTTACAGCATGATCTGATTGAACTTGAAATTGTCTCTGTAAAATTCCTTAAGACATGAGTTGTAAACTGGAACTATAAAAATACCCTGAAATCAGTTGAATATGATAGATGAATGAATTGAACTTTTGTAACAATCTGTTCAACCGCCTGGTGCAAAATTATTTTTAATACATCCAAAACTCTGCTGAGGGACTTTAAATAAACACCAATAGGAAAATCCACAAATCTCATTTTAGAATCTTTACTTTCCCTTTTAGAATAGGTTTCAATGTTATTTCTGTCATTCAGATCCCTCCACTGACAGGCTATTTTTGACATTTTCTTTCATAGGAGCAATTGAAGCAGTGATTTCTAAAACTTTAGAATTAAAGTTTTCTACTAGCTCACAGGGTAACAGGGCAAAGTGGTGGTAGAAAAGTAAATCTGGTTGGAGGTTCTAGTAGCACCATCCTCAAAGATACAATGATGCCTCTTTGGCTTACTGAGCCATTGAAAATGGTGCTTTCAATATAACAGAAAAGTGGTCAGATAAAGAAATATCAGTAATAGAGATCAAGTATTTATCTCTATAGCCCCGGTCATTTTCCACTGTCTATGTCCAGAAGTCGAGGGGCTGAAGGTGGGTCTATTGTCGAGGTTGTATTTGCTTGCTGGATTGTTAAGAAGAGTGTGCTGGATTAGTGTTGTGAAATGACATTTGGCTCACCAATATTTTGAGGCTACAGATTGGTGTGAGCTTCCAGTACATTTTAGTGGATTGTTCAATGATAATAACAACTTCAATAAATCTAATGTACAGATAATATTTTATATTAATATATATTTTGATTGTACCTTGACAGGAAACCTCTAAATCTAGAATGGTTTTGGGGTCTCTTCACACTAATCTTTAGCCTGACGTAGTCCGACTCAATTCTAGTCAGAATATGAGTCTGATACTGCTCCATAGAGCTGTGATTATGGGGCGTGTTTTGAACGAACCAGGAAAAAAAATGCCTCTGCACTCAATTGGATAGACCTACAACCAATAAGAGCAACGGAGTGCGTGACGTATGTTAAGCGAGGCATAGTTGTTGTCAACAAAAATCAAAGCGTGCAGTTGCAGGCCTATAATAAGAAGATGAGACTTGATCACGTTTCTTTGTTCCTCTTTTAAAATTAATTTGCTGTCGATATCTTCTAGAACAGACCTAATAGCAGAATCTACTCCCCTAAACTCTCCAGCGGAAGCCATTATTGATGTCACCCAAGCGCGCTTTGGTCACGTGGTTGATTACGTTACTGTTGATCATCTGTCCATCATCGTATAAAGCCCGCCCTGACAATTTGATTGGATCGGCTGACAGTGGGCGATAATACTCGCGCTACTATGGAGCAGAGCCAGACCGAACTTCCCAACCTCAAACTTTGTGGGCGGGACTAAGTTCAGAATGGCACCCAGGCTAACTAATCTTACTTATTTCTATAGAACTTGAGCCATAGATAGAACATGGAATTCTAATTAAGAGACAGACTGGGACATATTTTCAGCTCTCATTAGCTTTTTCTTTGGGGTTACTTAAAAAAATCATTCTCCATTGATTCACTTTTAAATTGAGAATTTCCCTGTTAAAGTTGTCCTCCCTTTAACTTCAGAAGTTGGTCAGCTCTGTATGATAGAAGAAACAGAAAAACTAAATCATACATTTGCTGTCTAATCTCCAAATGTCACTCTTAGTAAAGTTCTTTTGGCTTATGTTAAGTTCTGCTCCTTTTTCCAAATAAGGGCTATGTGATGACATTTATAGAGCTCAATTCTAGTAATTTCTTATTAGAAAGAATATTTAAGTATTTAATTAGATTGTTTAGATGTTATTTAATATTTTTTAAACATGTTTTCTTTAGCAGTGATCTAATCATAATTATGTTTGATTCGCCAACCCTTAATCTTGGATGGAGCATTTGTACAATGATATTATGGTAGCATTCCATAGCAGCTTTATCCATTGAGGATTTTAAACACCCACAGGTCTAAAATGCTGTATGCAGAATAGTTCAGACACTGCCCACATTACATAGTAATAACCCAATAGTAAAATCAGAATGGAAAGGTAAATTAAGAATCAAGAATAAAGTATTTCTGTTCTTGGACAAAGAGTTTGTCTGCATTGCCTACTGATGGTGGTCAGAGAGAACTGGTGCCGCCCATGTATTGTGTTGTTATTGTCAGTGAGTTCTTTGGCAGCTGTGGCTAGAATGTAGCTTGCAACAATCAGTGTTTGAATGTGTCTGTAGGTGGCTGAATGTAGTGTAATGCAGGTGCTATACAGGCTATTTATCATTTTGATTTATATCAAGTTGCCATGTTTTTTTTTATACACGCAGTCTTAAATACATAAGAGAAGTTTTTCGCTTTTTATGACTAGATGTATAAAAGTCAGCTAAAAACTTGTTGGAATCACAGCCTTGTTGCCAAAGTGCTTCAATGTCATCTATTCAGACAAAGAACTGGGGACAAAAAATGTTGCAAAAGAAACATTGAAACATTTCAAGGAAGCGTCTTGTCCTGCAAGCAAAATGTAAAAGAATGGGGAGTAAGTCACCCCTTTTGCAGCAGTATTTTAGTTCACTAAGAAGATCTATTCAAGCCATACTTCTGCTTAACCCAATTCGTGCAAGCAGCCCCAATTACAACAAACTGTCCCTTTCGGTGGAAATAAATTGTCCCATTTGAAGTGAAAAAAATGACACCTACTCTTGCGTAAAAGTTAAAACAGCAGGGTGCATCTGTAACAAGAACATCTGTCCCTGCTGCATGCAATCTACTGAGAAAGGAGAGCAGTTCATACGGCAAAATGAAGCAAAGAAATTTAGATATTAAATGCTCATTTTTCTTTAGTAAGTGTGCTTGGCAATATGGGCACAATGACGCAAATGTCAAAAGAAAAAAAATAATGCCTCCAAGTTAGTCTCAGCTCTCCTTTTACATAACCAATGGCGTTTAGCTGTGGTGCAAACAAAAAGCTTCAAGGGGGTGTCTCACATGCATGACTGAATTTCTGTTTGCTTTTTTCTGGAGGTCTGAACAATGCTCATCCAATCACACTCACAAAGCAAAATAAAACATGTGCAGCTTTAATTACTCTATTGTCATAGACAACATATTTAAACATTTATATGTTTAGATGTAAGTGTTATTTCTGAATTTTGTTAACAATCACTTCTTATTTAATTATGATGGTTGTTGACTAACTTATGTATTGTTGTCACATTAGCATGTGTCTGTGTCTTCTAGAGACTGACTGACAGAAATACGAAGTTATAAACACTATGTTGACTATATTTACAGTTAATACTTTTCTGTTTGTAGACAGCAGAGCAGAGAATGCAGAGGAACGTCTAGTAAACTACCTGCTGGGACCAGAACGCTATAACAAGCTGATCAGACCAGCAGTAAATAAAACCCAACAGGTCACCATCTCCCTACAGGTCTCTCTGTCACAGCTAATCAGTGTGGTGAGTACAGAATATGATCTGCAATGATTACCAAAATCTTTTTTTGGTCTTCAATCGTCTCTACAGGTTTTAATGGTGATGTCCAGTCAGAACATTTCACTTAATTCAAAAATACTTTATTGGTCTCAAAGGGAAATTAGATCTTATAATAACTCATGGGCTTTTTCTCAATAAGTTGTAGGTGTTGATAGGTGTAGGCAGGAAGGATCTTCTGCACCGAATCTGAAGACACTCAAGAAAAAGACTAATGACAAGAGAGCTAAATTAGGAAAAAGTCAAACTTAATGGTGCGTTTAAGGTCATTCTATTGTTGTCAATTATTTCAGTAAAAACTTAATCAACAGCCCTAGAAGGAAAATGTGTTGAGGGGACAACTATTATTTTCACTCAACAAATCGTTGGTGTTTGTGAAAAAGTGACAGGCTTGAAAAACAGCTGAAAGAAAGCTCGCAAAAGTCCATTCGAAAACACAAAACACATGTAAAGTTACAGTTCTGTAGAGATAGATTTCTTAGATTTTTTTAAAGCCCATTGACTCTGAGCAGACCTCCAAGACATACACATTCCATTGATTTTCATTGTTTTTCAGTCATTTTCCACCCTTTCTATAGCATCGTGAGACCATCCTGATCTCGCGAGCTTTCAAGGTTTCACTCGCAGATCAGTCTGGCTACTCTCCGTCAAAGAAAATTTGGAGCCGTTTACCAAACGAACGTCTAATTCGCGTTGGCTTTGAGGCGGGTTGAGATGTGACACAGAGATGCGTGACAGTTCAGTCTAAAGAACATGGCAGCTTCAGCCGATGAAACTAGCGTTAGCGTGGCTATCAAGCAAGTTTTATCGGAATTACAGAGTATTTCTTCACTGAAAGAAGAGCAAAACACTGCTCTGGAGGCTTTTCTCAGAGGAAAATATGTTTTTGCTCTTCTCCCGACTGGTTTCGGCAAGAGTTTGATCTATCAATTGGCTTGTGCCTGGCTTGTGGTTGTGTTTTCGTCGCTCTGTTAGTACGTCATATGCTTTGTTGATCTAATTGGTTTATTTGGCCCGTCTATCACCAACATAGGCCAATCAGCTAACCAGTATTTTCGCCCCTTCCCAAAATTACTTCAACGGAAGGTTTCCAGATGGATATGCGGAGCAAATCCATCTGGCGAATCAGGTTACCCTTTCTATGCATTAACCCTGACAGTAACCTTGAACCAAACCATTACCAGTGCATACTTTACTCTAACCCCAACCCAATTCAGACTGTAGCTCTAAATTTAACAATTATAAAAATAGCTCATGAGGTCTAGGCAAACTTTTCTCACTTTGTAAAAATGTCCTCACTCCAAAGATGAGGATACAAACTGAAACTGGTCCTCACTCTTTATTTTAAAACAGGAGCACACACCCACACACACACACACACAGATGATGAAGGTCAAACTGGCACTACCACCTTCTTAAATAGCATGTAGGGTTACAGTTTTCAAAAAAACATCAAAACCATCATTTAAAAAAAGGTAAAGAGACCATTTATTAGTCATCAACAGTCGGTTTATTAATGTTTGATTAATTTACAAACTGCATCTAAGCCAGAAAAAAGTAAACAGATAATTTAATAAGGTATTAACTCCAGGGTAAGACAGACACTATAGACAATATAAATCAGTAAGATTAGAGTTAGACAAGGAGCTCACTGATATTAGGGTGAGGGATAAACTGTCAAAACAGTGCAATATGATCTATTTAACTTTTACAATTGGTTTAGATGCATTTTATACATGACAATGAAACATGATAAATTACCTGTTAATCATCAATAAATGGTCTCTTTACCATTTATTAATAATGGTTATGATGTTTATTGTAACGTCTTATCCTCCATGTGGTTGGTTTTGCTTATATGTCCTGTCATGCAAAGGTTTCTGGGATACTATGTAGCTCTAGTAGCGGCTAGGGAATTCAGGAGGTCCCTAAATGAACTGCTTCCTTGTCCTGGTGTAAACTTCTACTTTTGAAAACAGGCATAAAAACCTTTTCATCTTTCTATATTATAAACCCAGCAGATTTCAACAGCTCTGTTGCCTAAAGTCTATCCCACCAGAACCACCTATTGTATCATTGATGGTTATTTACCTATTTAGAACATGTAACTCTTGTTAGACAGAATGAACTAGGTTTTCTTGTAAAAGGGTATGTCTCCTTATTATCATTGTCAAAGCAAAAAAAGAAAAAAAAGAAAATGTGATGTGAATATGTGATTCTCCAAACTATGCATCATAATGTATCAGTAAAAACGCTTGAAAGTTAGATGAAGTGACAGCTTGGATTTGCCGCTGGGTGGGAACAAGTATGAGTCTGTTTGCTCGTCTGTTTGAGTTTTCCCAGTGATACATGACTGACTTGTCAAGGACAAAGTGCTACAGTCTGCTGCGTTTTTTTGATAGGCTGTAAACCTAATTCAAGAGTTTGCTGCCTAAAGAACTGTGAAAGACAGAAAGGTGGGTAGAATACCAAATAGTTTGAAAGAGTTCTTTGATAAAAAAAAAAATGCTTTATCAAAACTAATTAACTGATCTTAACATCTGGTTTGATATTTAAAAATGATGTAATTGGATTTTGTGATTTTACAGTTAGAAATAAAATACTAAATAAAACAGATGACATAATTACCGGTACAAGCTCACAAAATTCCAGAAGAGGAAACTATTTTCCTGTTCAATTGTTTTGAAATAACTACTTACAATGGGTAAGTACAGGGTAAAAAACCTTTAAAGAATTTTACTTCTTTCTTTATTTTTACTTGATCTCTGAAGTGATCTTGATTTGAAATGGGATTAAAGTGTGAGTAGTGTTACTTGACAATACTATGATTAAAAAGTACTGTACATCTACTCCTAAAAGTATTTTTTTTTGTTACAAAGTTACCCAAGTGAATGTAACTGAATAAATAGATCTAGTTATTACCCCTTCTGAGAAAAGATGATACGATAATTTTTTTATTTTAACAGATATTTGTGTATTTTCTTGGTAAAACTGAATAAAACATTCTATCTGGATATTCTATCTGGACAGTTACAAAAGGTTCTTGTTCCATAAAAAAAAAAAAATCTACTACCGTTAACTAGGCTCATTAGAGACTGAGTTTTGTTGTTTTTTTCTGCAGAGATCTCAGTAAGATTGGTTTGAGAGCTTCTCTAAGCCCCATGTTTCAACTCTTGCTATAGATTCTCAAATGGATTTGGATCCACCCACAGGGGCGTTTATTCATGAATATGCTTTAAACCAGGGGTCACCAACCTTTTTAAGGCTGAGGGCTACTTCATGGCTACCGAGTCATAGGAAGGGCTACCAATACTGACCTATGAACTGGAGGGATCAGTGTTCACCTACAGTAAATCTCATCCATAAAAACTCATTTTTATTCTTATTTTATTCTTTTATTCATTTCTAATTTTCTTTTTAATATTGTCATTTTTATACCACTGAAATATGATGAAATAGTTCACATAATGAAATAATACCTAAATGATTAAAAAGAAGAGCAACAGAACAAAAAAAAATTAAACTTAACCCACTGAGTGAGTTCTTCTGTTTTCAGAAGACGAAGAGGGCACCCCATGTGGTCCTTGAGGGCCCCTTGGTGCCCGCGGGCACCGCGTTGGTGACCCCTGCTTTAAACAAATGGATTCCATCATAGCTCCGTCTCCTGCTGGGATGTGAATAATGTGAATTTGATCCTGTATTTAGATCTTAATAGACAGAGGTGGGGGATGTGGATTTACCAATTAATCTCCATGCCATGTATTTTTTATGCCCAGCCACTGAATCAGGTACAGTTTACATAGTGAATTAAATTTTGCAGATTGGACTCACCTGGGTTTAAGTCCTTAAAACCTGAACAGTTTATCTGTCCCTGCTGAAGGAAAGATTACAAAAAGCATTATGCTGCCACCATATTTTACCTTTGGGATTACTTAAATTAATGAGTAGTGAAAGGTTCACAACAAAAACATGGTTTTCCATGCAGTGTAATTATCCAAAGAAGTATTTTAAAATATTTTAGCAAACTAGAGATGACTCTATTTTTAAATAGTGAGCATTTGTGTTTTATTTTTATGCTACTTTGGACAGAATCTATGATTTAGGGAAATCAACACACTAAAAACATTTAACACATCTTTTAACCGTAAAGAGTTAGTTGGATTTCAGCTTTGATGGTACAATAAGGCCTTAACAGAAGTCAAGCAGAGAACAGGACACAATATGTCAATATGCACTGTAGCAAACAGCATCGGTCTGTCCAACCTCCTGTTTTTAGCTTTCATCTCACAAAATGACGGAAGCAGAGGCTTGATTATAAGTGGCTGCAGTATATATAAATTATAGAGTCAACACAATGAGTGACAACTGGTATTATACTGCTTTATCATAATTTGAAAGGGTCATTATCAGAACTCTTAACTTGTATGATCATCTACTGTTCAATTCTGACCTAAACTTATAAAAATTATTAACCTTTCTTTAAAAAGCAAAACATTAAAACAATGTGTATTAATGTTGAACATAAATTACTATTTTCTTTGTCCAGAATGAGAGAGAGCAGATAATGACCACCAACGTATGGCTGTCTCAGGTACCCTGCTGTCATTCTCTAACATTCTTTGTTACTTCAGTTAATGTATTTTTGGTTTGCTGGTAACTAAGTAGGTCTTACTATAGGGATGGCATGACTACAGACTAAGATGGGACCCGGACAAATATGAAGGCATCAAAACACTGCGAATACCATCCAAACTGATCTGGCTTCCTGACATAGTACTCTATAATAAGTAAGTAGGCACAATGCATCCCATTTTAAAGCATAACAGGTGCAATTTTGTATATTTTTTGACTAATCTTTGAATGTATTGCAGTGCTGATGGAGTCTATGAAGTTTCCTTCTACTGCAACACTCTAGTGTCCAACACGGGTGATATAGCCTGGCTTCCTCCAGCTATTTACAAGTCTGCCTGCTCCATCGAGGTGCAGAATTTTCCTTTTGACCAACAGAACTGCACCCTCAAGTTTCGCTCCTGGACATACGACCACACAGAGGTGGACCTTATCCTCACCAGTGACTTTGCCAGCCGAGACGACTTTACCCCGAGTGGAGAGTGGGACATTGTCTCACTCCCAGCCCGCAAAAACGAGGACCCTAATGACATCACCTACCTTGACATCACTTATGATTTTGTGATCAAGCGAAAGCCTCTATTTTATACCATCAATCTAATCATCCCGTGTGTGCTGATAACTTCGTTGGCCATCCTGGTTTTCTATTTGCCTTCAGACTGCAGGGAGAAGATGACACTGTGTATCTCTGTGCTGCTGGCTCTCACTGTGTTCCTCCTGCTGATATCCAAGATTGTGCCACCCACATCTCTAGCAGTACCGCTCATAGGTTTGTGAACATTTTGTTTTCTTTACAGTATTTTAAAGGGTTTATAGAATGCTAATTCTATTAATCCCCTGTGGGAATGAATAAAAACCAAGCCACAACCTTGAAGCTAGAAAAGCTGTTGATATTTATGTTACTGTTAAAACAAACAAAAAGAATGATCTCATATTTGATTTAACTTTTCTGTTCAAACTTTAATATCTAAATATCACTTTTCTCATTTAAAGAAACATCTATATTAAGGGGCTCTTCACACCAGGCCTTCACCCACTACCCATACACCCTGGAATTGAGGCCACAACATTTAGAGATTTTATATCTTATATACATAAGATATGTGCCATGATAAGTGAGGAGAAAAAGCCTTGTTTTAAAAAAAACAACAACAAAAAAGCCACTATTATACTTTCAATTTCTAAAAGGGAATAAGTTGAGCTTGGTTAACTATCCTTTTCCTTTATCAGGTATGATCAGTCTTTAACAGTGATTATTAAACCTAGATGACAATTTATAGTGTAATAAATATGTAAAAAAATTGGATACAATAACAGAATGCCATGACATTTATTTTAATCATAATTAAAGACAGAGAGAATTATGTTGATAAAGGATGAAATGTGGAATGCTCTTTAGAGGCTTTTAAGTCATTATTTAAAAAAATCTGTTCAATTTTGTCAATAACGACTGTTTCATGACCCTGCCTCAAGCGCAGACACCCACTAGCTGAGGCCTGGAATTGGGACACTCTTACCCTTACTGAAACTTGTAAAATTTAGGGGTTGGGCTATAAAGTTGGTCAGGGAGTGTTTTCGAGATTGGGCCAAAAGCTGCGCCAAAAAGAACTGAACAAATGTTGAGGGCCTTTCCAAAGTCTTAAAGAGGTTCTCTGGGAAGCATTAAAAGTGTAGTATAATTCCAAACCATGATATTCATTTCTAAGCCACATGACATTTCCAAAATGCTTCTCCTTGGTTTGGTGTAGAGTACTTTATCCAAAATGTTTGACCAGTAAGCACCTGGATGTATTGGTTATTTGAGAACTTTAAGTGAGACTAAACAATTCATAATCATTTGCATCATTGGCTTAAACCATGCATATGGCTTAAACCATATGCATGGTTTAAGCCATGGGTGCTCAATTCCACTCCTCAAGACCTACTATCCAGTACCTTTTTTGATGCACCCTGTTTTTCCCACACCAGAATTAAATCAGTGGCTTGTTACCATGCCTCTGCTGAGCTAAATGAGGGGATTAAGCCTTTAGATTCAGGGGTGTTAGAGAAGTGATGTATTCAAAAGTTACAGGATGGTAACTCTTGAGGACTGGACTTAAACACCTCTGTTTTAAAGGAAAAGTCCGGTCATATTCATAATACAAACCTCTGTACTACTTTAAATATTAAATCATTACATACTATTCAATAAATTATGTGTACTTTTCATTTTAATGTGCTTTACTATAGACATCCATGTTTTTCAAAGAACACTATTACCACCTATGGGTTAGTGACGTCATAGTGCGGTATCAGCTGTTGAGCAAGTTCCAGTACTGTATCTGTTGTTTGTCACAATGCGCTATTATCCAAGTCCTCTTGAAAACATTCTTCTTCGCCATGTTGGCTACATATTACGTGTTTTTTCTCTGACCAGAAGTTTAATGGCAAATCCTAGCTCTTCAAGTTGGCTAATGGCATGTACTTATAGCACCTTTATTCAAGTCAGGAGACTGGACCAAAGCACTTTACACTACATTCATTCACCCATTCACACTCACGGTAGCAAGCTACATTGTAGCCACAGCTGCCCTGGGGCTCACTGACAGAAGCGGGGCTGCCGTACACTGGCGCCACCAGGCAAACTCATCCGTGGAGGATCATGAATCGGAAAGGTGAAATAACAATTTTTTGTTTTTCACTTTTACCTGATGCATTACAACATCCAACTGCCATGCACGTGGCTGTTGTCAGTTTAACTATAGCTCTTGTGAATTTCAGTGGTTCAGTCCTCTTGAAATCTTAAATAATTATTGATTGTAGTTGTCTCTAGTAGTTTCCATTGATTTTGCTTTTAAAGCGGAGAGAATGGCATTCGGCTTGCCGTACCGTGACATCACTGCTGGAAGATGTCAAGAGTGAGGTGATAGCGACAAAAATTATTTTACTTTTTTTTTTTTACTGATTAACGCTAAATTCATTAAATCACCACAAATGTATTAGTTTTAGGTATAAATAATGATCCATTGATTATTCCTTTCTGACCGGATTTTTCCTTTGAGGTGTGGAGAAATATTCACATTTCCAAACTGCAAGCACTGGTTTATCAAAAAAGCCTTTAGGTCGTAGAGGTTTGCCATTTACATGCACAGTATGAAAAGCAATACTAGCATTTTTTTTTTTTTTTTGTTACACGTAGAGTGAAGAAGAGGAGAATTAGAGGGAGATGAATAAGCACCAGCATTGGGTCTACATATATACATATACATATATATAAATATATACAATCATCATCTCAATGATAAAGCTTCAAACTTTGGACTCTCAGAGATAATAAGGCATAATAAGGACAATTTCTACGTGAAATTAAGAAAGCCTCTGAAGCTCTTTTTCATTATCTCAGGCTTTTAACAAGTTTATGAAAGTTCTGTCATTGTCTCTTTTTCAAGAATAACTTTAACACTTCTTGTGGAAGAACAGAACCAACAAATCTTAACATTGGAATACTTGGTATTACTCTGGTAATACCATGGTACTATGGTAATACTCTGGTATACTTAGACTTGAGTGTGAAGGAGATCCTTTTAGCTACCTTTCATGTTGGCTATAAAAAAGGACATTGATGGATAAAAGTCTTTATTGTACATTCAAGATTTACTGATATGCCTTTATTTTTTTTCTCTTTTTTTCTCCTAACATTTCAAAGGCAAATACTTGATGTTTACCATGGTGCTGGTTACATTTTCCACTGTCAGCACAGCCTGTGTTCTTAACGTTCACCACCGATCCCCATCTACTCACTACATGCCAGACTGGGTCAAACACCTCTTTCTGGTTCGCCTTGCAACTTTCCTCCTCATGAGACGCCCAGGCTCTTCAAATGTCCGAAATAAACTCCGCCAGAAGGTCACTAGCAGGAATCCCAGCAGTAAAAGCGGTTCCCACAGTGTCACAGGCAGGAGGCAGCACTCTGATGCCAGACTTGGTGGAATCCCAGCCGACCGCAACTCTTTCTATGTTAACGAGGACTTGGCATACAATTGTTGCTGGAATGTGGGCGATGCCCAGGATTCTCCAGATATTGGGAGGCCTACAGCAGGGCAGCTGGATGCAGAGCTGGAAGAGGCAGTGGATGGAGTGAAATACATTGCCGAACACATGAAGATGGAAGATGGCAATGAAGGGGTAAGGAGATAAATGAGGAAAAACGTCAATTTATAGACCACCTGAAATTAATATCATCACTGAAATCATAATTCCTTTGCAAAGCATACAAGTTTAGAACTCTTTAGGTTTTTTTTGTTAGGATGGCTTAAGCAAAGCAGAGAACTTAATGTAAATGGTTCATTGCATGATGAGAAGATAAATCTTCACTGATGCTCATCATCCAGTCAGACTGAGTTTGAGCTATTTTGAAAGATGAAAGGGAAAAACATGTAGGTATCTGTACATTTTAGTAGAGGCTGTAATTGTAGGGAAAATGGTTCTATGACAAAAAGTAAATGCATGCCTCATATTAATGGTTTGTTTTTCAGAAGGATTGCCAGCCATGTGGTCATCTCTTCCCACTTCCCACAAATATACGTTGTGATGTTTTAGTCCAGGAAATAAAGTTCTAGATAGACTTGTTTATTTTAAAATGCCATTTTGGTCTCTTGCACTATTCAAGTTACGAGTAAAAATAGACATCTGTTCACTAATACATCTAGGTTGACTTTACCAGGAGCACTGACACAAACACTGGCCAAGGGTTTTGAAATGTTCTTTTCATCTAACATGTTTTTCTTGTTTTTAATTGCTCAAGACAGATTATTTCTTTAATCCAGCCTCTTCCGCTCATTCGTATGAATTGGAGTTAAAAATATTTGCTAACAGACCTGAACTCTGGTCTCTTTTTCTGTACTGCCTTCCAGATACGTCCAGATATCTCAGAAGAAAAGAGTTGTTAAGGAGAAAGGTTTTTACAGTTGTGTTAAAAATAGATGAACTATTGATACAAAACTTAAGAGAACATGTGGTCAAAGGGGATTAGTTTAAACAACATAGTATGTTATCAACAATCCAACCTGTCACAATTTTTACCATTGGTTTTATTCCAGATCATTGAGGACTGGAAATACGTGGCCATGGTGATAGATCGCCTCTTTCTTTGGATCTTCATCCTGGTGTGTGTGGTGGGAACACTGGGACTCTTCATGCAGCCCCTTTTCCAGAGCTATAACACACCAACAGCTGATGACTCAGAGTGAGTTACACCAGCACATGATTTTTAGCTTGAAAAAGTGGGATTAATGGTGCATCATTATTATGCCCCTGCTGAAAAATAAATGTGCTAAGTGTACTAAAATTTAGCATACTTTTGTGTACTTGAAGGCACACTAATCATTACTATACTTTAAGTGTGTTTATGATTAGTTAACTTGAAGGATGCTATTTTGGAACAACTAATTTTGTACTAAATATATTTTAATTGTAATTAAATTGTGGACAAGCTCAACTTGAAGTGTATTTAGTGTACTTTGATGTGCTAAAGTGGAACAACTTAAAGTATATTTTGTATACTTTAAGTATATGAGTTTATATGTACTAATATATGCTTAATTAGTCAAATTAAAGTGCACTATGGTTGTATTATAACTACATTAAAAATGATTTGTTAGTGTCTTAAAAATATATAAGCTTTATACTTTTAATATACTCTTACTGTGGTAATAATATGCTTAATTATACTGTTGGCTTATTCCAATTACTAAAAAAGCATACTTTGCAGTTAATAGTAAATATACTTTATCATTACATTGCTATACTACTTTCTACCTTGCACATTCTTGCAAATGTATTAACAGTATACTAAATGCTGAAAGACTTGTGGATATACTTCCGTGCAGATGAAAAAATATACTTTAATGTATTTGAAACATGTCCAAATTATAGTACATTACAAATAATATAACTTGTACTATCTCAGAATGTATAAACATTTACATATCGACGTTAACCATTTTCATTATAAAACTTACAACACATTTTCAAATATTGGTACTTTAGTACACTTTGTAGAAATATGTCAATTTCAGGCAGCAGACCTAAACATTACAAATAAACTTTAAAGAACGCAGAGGAATACTGAACAATGAAAAACAACATTCCTTATTATTGCACCCCTAAACCCTCCCACCATACAAAAACACGCCCACCACACATTATTTTCCTTTTTTTGGCTGAACTGCTCATTGTTACATTTTCGTCTGATGGCCGTGCGCACATCAGAGACACTTGTCTACGGAAACTCCAGAAGAACAGCGTCTGTTAACCAAACAGAGAGATACTGTAAATTCATAGTATTTTTGAGCAGTACATCAGAAAAGTCTGACAAATTGTATCAGTATGATATACCAGGGTCCATAAGTGCACCAGAAAAAAAAATTGTCCATTTCAGTTGAATTTAAATAAATCTGATGCATCAAGTGGTTTTATCAGATCTGATCAAAAAAATTAAACAAAGTAACAACAAAAATTGTCAGAGATCTCAGAAAAGAAAAAAATTATGAATCCGCAGAAAGAAAGGGAAGAAAAATCCTTAAGTTTCCTTGTTTTTCCTACCACCCTCCAGGGAACCGGATGGCATTCAAATTGGGAACATCCTGCATCAACATCTCTGGTGGAGTCTAGTCCAGTCCATACAATGAACCGCTCAGCTGTAACAGCAGATTCTGCAACTATGTAAAAAAAAAAAAACAGCCTGCACACAAATGTGCAGAGCAATTACTTCAATTGGAAAATAAATCATGTAATCACCATAATATAAATTGGTTTTTACCACATTTATACAGACAAAAATATAAAGTAAAATTATCAATTTACATGTGGTTCACTGTCTAAGAAATCATTATGGTCAGTAGTCAATACTTGTATCTGGAAAAAACAATCCAGGACACCTATGAAGGGTTAATTTTACGTTAACCCCTTGTGGGGGTTTTACAGCAACATCACACAAGATGTAGCTAGCTTGAAAGTGCATTTTCTTTTTTAGAAGAGCACATGGGGGGTGTGTTAGCCTCCTTCTCACTGTGCTAATGCATTCAATAAATCAAAAGAGCTAGTAAAATTACATATATTACAAAACATTATATCCTGACTGGTTTTACATCTCAAAAAATATATATATTTCATTCACAGGTTCATGTGAACTCACCAGGATATTCTTCAACACAATAATACAGCAAATCTTCCTGCTCAACCGATTACATCTCCTGTTTCTACAATACAAATATAATAATCAAAATCGCGTTTTATACAGATATCTTAAGATTTCAAAACCAAATGGGAATGTTTTGAAAGTTACCTCTCTCCATGCAGACCAAGGCCTTAAAAGAAAAGCACGCTAGCTCTGAGCAGGGAGGAGCCGTGACTAACTGCTGTGCAGGTGTGGTGCATTCAAAGTCTATGGGAATTCTGATATCAGTACTGAACCAAAAACTCCCCAAGACTAAAATTCTTGGGGAGCTACTACTTTACAGACATCAAGGCCAAACAACCTCCACATATCACTCCTATATGCATGAAGTGCTGTCAGCGACTTTTAAATATGTGCACTCACCAATTGGTCTTGTTTGCAGTAGCCCTGCTTTGATCCATTAAACAATACTAATGAAATGTTCTTTTTTGAACACTTGAGACAATTGTAATGTGTTAAGTTTATTTCTTTTGCATTTGGCCAGTATTAACTTTTCTGTTGCAATGTGGGTTATGCTATTTGTTAGATCATAATGTAGCACTGCACCAGCTTTAAACCACTTGCTTTTCAGCAGAACACACATTTTTGTGCACCTGTACTTTTGAAGTGAACATTTAGTGTTTTGTTCAATGTGGTTTTGTGTGTAAGATGTATTGTATCATATTTCTTTTTCAAAACTTATTAAACATTACATAACAACTGCAATAATTGCTATCTGTGTACTTTACACACAGCACAAAATTGCATAATAGGGTTTAAGTGCATTTTTGTAGTTATACTATTGAACACTTTCCAAAAGAATTACCTGAAGTACAAGCGTATATAACTTCACTTCATAATTAGATTCAAATGTAACTTAAAATGCACTCAAACTTAATATTACAGTGTCGATATTAAAATGTGTACTTTTAAAATATGCTTTCAATGTACGTTACAATGACAACTTTGAGCATACAATTTAAAATATAGCAAAAATATATGTAAAAACAAATTTAAAATAAGTACACTTTAGAAATTACACATAACTTTCACTTAAAGTATACTTTTTTAATAATATATTTCTATAAAGTGTAACATAGTGTAATTATGTTAAAGTGTGTTAAAAGTATTAGCATGAAAGCGTAATGTTAGTATACTTTTTATATATTTACAAAAAGTACAATTTGTCTAAGTACATTTTCAGTAAACTATAGGAAATATGAATATACTTGAAATACAATAAAGCACATTTTTTTTTTACCAGGGGCAATATAAGACTTGTCAATTTTTTACATTTGGTTTCGGGTTTTTCCCGCTGAATCCCAAATCTTCAGATAATTTGTATGGTTCATCTGCAAAGCTGCATATGTATAGGCCTTTGATTTAACATGTGGTCTAAAGTTTTGCTAAATACTTCTTCTCAGCCATCTTTATTATCTGTACCTTTAAAAAACTATATAAATAAACTTGCCTTGTCCTGTCTTACTGTGCTTAGCAAAAATATTGACCCTGCTCTTCTTCTTTTTTTTTTCTTTTCATGTTTTGATGCAATCTAATTTATAATAATATTTTCTATCATGCTTATCCCTGCTGGGGTCGCGAGGGGTGCTGGTGCCTATCTCCAGCTGTCTACGGCGAGAGCGGGGTACACCCTGGATAGGTTGCCAGTCCATCGCAGGGCATAATTCCATTTATTTTAGTCTAATTTAATGTTATAGATCACACGAACATATCAGAAAAATGTATTGTAAAAACAATGATTTTCGAATGTTTATTTTTTTAATAAAACATCGGTTAATTTCGTATTGTTTTAAACATTGGAGGGGGAAAGCCATCATATGAAATTCAAATTTCATCTAATAATTGCCAAACCATTGAGCATGTGCAGCGAACATGAATAACTTACTGTGGTCACATGAGACAAAGTTTAAGTGTTTAGCCTACCTACCAAGCACTATATGTAGAAGAAATTTATCCAAAAGCTATAACTTGAATCATTTGGAATATATAAAGCTCAGGGTGAAATGTTATACGGTAGAATAATGCTGTGGGGATGTCTTTGTGTGGAGTGGTAATAAAAACTAGAAGTAGTGGATTAGAGATTTAGATATTGCAATAAAATAGAAAATAATGCAGATGTTTTAAAAGATTTCATATCGATAACATTTTTAATGAGATTTCTTCATATCAAATATTTGATCCTACAGCATTTACTTCTTGTATATTTCTGCTCTAGAATGATATTTTTAATACTGCATGTGTTATGTTATGTTATTCTTTTCTTTCCATAGATATGGAGATTTCTAGAGTCTTCTCGGGTCTTCGACACAGAGGAGAAAACTTCAAGCAAACATCTCTTTCTGAAAGCTTAAAAAATCCCCAGCAGCAATCAGTGGCTGTTGATTGGATCTGATGCCTAATCAGGGCAGCAAGCTACACATGTTGAATTTGCAACATTGCAATTTAAATGAGGACCGAATTGGACAAAGATTCAACTTTCTGCTTATCTAAATGGATTTTAAAGCTTTCAGTCAACATGATGAAGACAAGAGATGATGTCCTAAAATAAACTATGCAGGGACAGATTTTGATATTTTGGAAGCTCTGTCAGACTTTGGATTGGGTTGAATGCTTAGCAGATATAATGCAACAAAGACACGGCATTGACATCCCACTGTGAGTCTGATGACATCATATTTTGCTCACTGCACTGCCGCTATAAAACTAAGAACATTTAAAGCTGTTTTTCACTATGATATCACTCAATAAATAATTTCTACACAACATGCTCGATTCAAACCAAGATTTAATTTCACAAAACTGGGACATTTTGTCTTTTTCATGGTTCCTTCACCATAAAATTGTCATTGCACAATCTCTTGTCTCTATTTATGCTTCAGTGGTGAGCAGCTCATTTCCATCTAAAGCAACATTGTAAATCTGCATTGCCCTACTTTAGAGGTTACTTGAGCTTGTTTTGGGTCTTTTCTTTGTTTCTCCTCTTTTCTTAGTCAGTTTTGTTTGTGACATTTCACGTCACAAAATCTGTCTGAGAATCACAGAGTGCAGGAAAAAAATGTCCCCAAAAGACCAAATGACAAAACGTGATGTAAAGGCAGTGAAAGAGTGATTTTTTTTTCAGCAGGAGCTTGTCTACTTCTCCAAATCCCTGTTTTAATGGCAAATTCTCATGACGTGAAACACGAGACCATTTCAAAACTTTGAATCCCCTTTCACAAGCTATACAGGGAAAATAGACTGAACAATAAAGATACTTTAAATATTAAAGTCCAAAGATGCATAAGCATAATTGCTGTACACATATTTAAACTGCTACTTTGTTGAAGCACCTTTTGATTTAATTTTGCAACTAAGTATTCTCCAGTTTGGACTCAGACAGCCAGAAAATAACCAGAAATAAAGCTCAGCTGGTATTATTAAGGGTTCAAGGTGCAAAGTATCTTTAATATCAGCATGTGAGGTACATATATAATATGCATAGAAAGTTTTAAGTCAAGCTTAGGTGGTTAGATGTTTTTTCCTTGTAAAAATCCACTCTACTACTATTTACGTCTGTTTGAGGTTTGATTAAAGTGGTTTTGTTCAGAAAAAATATATAATTTTATAGAACAAAGCTGATGCTAATGTAAATTCAACCATCAGTGAAACCTGCTATAAACAGGGTCAGGATTTGGGGTTACTGTTTTTCAGAATTGAACTCGTTCTCTCTGGAGAACATTATAATCAGCTCCAGTCAGTTTTAACCAAACCAGTTAGGGATATAGAGGGTTTTCATCTTACAGAATAAAGGTAACTAAAAACATTTATGCTAATCAACAAAAGCTGCTTCAAGAAATCATTATTGGAGGTTGTGAATGTCTTAGCTGAAGCCAGAGTCCAGGACTAAATCTGACCAAAAATCTGTAGAGTCACATCCAGTAGATACATTTTCATAAAGTGAGGTGAGGAAAAATTGGCATATTTTCTATATGTTTGACTAACAGACTTTCTATACTGATAGCCCTCTAAAAAAGACTGAGTGCTGAAACTGCAGAAAATTATGGTTTAATAAAGTATTAGTCTATTGTGTACACATTGGAGCAACCTGTCATATTGTACAGAATATGGATCACATTAAAGGTAGTAAAACTTTTGGTGATGGTGATACAATTTGGTGATATATATATATATATATATATATATATATATATATATATATATATATATATATATATATATATATATATATATATATATATATATATATATAACTTTTTAGATCTACTGTATATGCAAATATAAACCTTTAAACAACTTGATGTTACATGTGAGATTTTACTGTTTTAAAAATAAAAAAGCTGTTTAAAATTCTGCAATGATGTGTCTCTAAAAGGTTTGTGCTTTACATTAATTTAGACATTCTCTTCAAAGTAGAAAAACTGACATGTTAGACAGGGTTAATTAATAATCACTGTTTGTGAAAGATGCTCCAACCAAACATCCTGTCATACATTCAGTCTTTTAATCTTGAGTGGGTTTTTATCTGCTCACACTTCAGAAGGGTTAAATATTGACGACAGGGTAAATGTAGCAGAGCTGCTGTCATATTATGTGCCTGGAGGTGAGAAATAGGGAGCACATTATGTACTTTGCAGAGCTCATAAAGGAATTTCTACAGCTTCTGAGAAGATGGGTTCTGACAAGGTGACATTAAACGATGGGCTCAGCACTCAGGTGGGCTGACAAGGTTGAAAAAAAGTGGCTAAAGTATGCTTTTAGACAAGAAAACTGAACATAGCGACAGAAATAGGGCATACAGTGGCCTTGATTTATGTTTATTTACTAAATTTGTTTTGTCCAGCTTTCAATTAAAGTGTCAGACAGCAGCACTATTGAGTCTTTCAGATGTATGTTTGTTAAAGCTTTTTAGTGTGTCTGTGCAGATATTCCTGGTGAAGTTAGTATATTAAATAGATTAGTCCTGCACAATATTTAGGGCTTAGTCAAATAATGTGTTATTGCATGAGCGGTGAAGTTGTTCTTGGTATTGAAAAAACAACAAATTGTCTTTGCTCTGCTGAGAGGATCTGCAAGCGAACATTGCACAATTCATGAACCCAATCTGCTAACCAGGAGAGCTACTATACATTGAAAATAATGACCCTCTCTATTTCAGAGCATTCCCTGAAGACAGACAGTTACTTTTAATTCACTATTGCATGAATGAGCACACACTCACTCACATAATGGACCATGATAAGATTTAAAGGGTCCAAATTCTTTATCTCAGCAAAAGAGGAGCACTGATTCCTGACCTGAAGTCAGCACATCAGCAAAAAACTATAAGTCTCCACTCTGGTAGATAGTTATCGACCCACCCCATATTTATAGTGCTCCCTTTAGGGTTCGGTGTACAGTTATACTGTGTGTGTGTTTGATATCAACATAAGGTTGGCAGGGTGAGGACACTGAAAGATCCCTACTGGTGTGTGTCTGGGTAAGATAGATTTGGACTAACTAAAATATAATAAAAAAAAATTTATACTAAAATATAACATGTTATTTTATCTAGATTATTATTTTGTTTTGAGTGAGTACATTTTTGCTTGTATTATTTGTCCATAAAAAAGAATACACCAAACATCTCTGATCTTTACTATGGCGTTCTAAGGCAGGGGGTTTAAATAAAATTTATTTCATGTTTAGCAGCATCTATTTTCTGCCACCCATACAACCACTCAAAGGTAATGGGAAAACAAAACAACAAAAACATTTCTTAATGATGGACTAATAAATAAGTGTCCCCAGTATGGACTAGAAAGAAAGTGTGTCTTTTGATATCAAGAACAAATAAATAAAAAGGGTCATGTAATCTGATTTTCTTTGAATGTGTTGTTATAAGTGTCTCTCCAAAAGCAGTAAATGAGAATATGAAAAATAAAGAATAAAATGATGATTGATGAAATAATGATTTCCAGGTTGGATGCTCAGTGGCACAGTGGGTAGCACTGCTGCCTTGCAACAAGAAGGTTCTGGATTCAATTACCGGCCTGGGGTCTTTCTGTTTACATGTTCTTCCTGTGCATGCTGGGTTCTCTCTTGGTACTCCAGCTTCCTCCAACAATCCAAAGACATGACTCTTAGGTTAATTGACTTCTCTAAGTTCTCCGTAGGTGTGAGTGTTTGCATGAATGGTTGTTTGTCCTGTTTGTCTCTGTGTTGCCCTGCGATGGACCGGCGACCTGTCCAGGGTGTACCCTGCCTCTTGCCCGTAGACAGCTGGAGATAGGCACCATCACCCCTCGCGACCCCACTCGGGATAAGCGTGTAAGAAAATGGATGGATGGATGGATGGATGGGTTGATATCCATGTTTTAACCAATTATATAATGGTGTGCAATGTTGCAAATTTGTTAATTTCTTTCTCCACATCAGTAAGAAGAATTAGACAATTGTGATGGTGGTCCTTCTGTAGCTGGATGGATGGATGGATGGATGGATGGATGGATGGATGGATGGATGGATGGATGGATGGATGGATGGATGGATGGATCGATGGATGGATGGATGGATGGATCGATGGATGGATGGATGGATGGATGGAAGGAAGGACGGATTGATTAGTAGATAGACAGATGGACGGATGGATGGATGGAGGGATGATGTATTGGTAGGTGGATGGATGGAATGATTGACGGATGGACAAATGGATGGATGGTTGGACAGTCGGACCGGTGGATAGACTGACGGACAGCGGATGGATGGGCAGATGGATGGATGATGGATTGGTGGATGGATGGAATGATTGATGGATGGACGAATGGGTGGATGGATGGATGGTTGGACAGACGGACAGACAGACGGACGGATGGTTGGATGGACGGATGGATGGATGTTTTTTTTTAGTTTCCTCTTTGCCCTCGTGTGGAAGCTGAAATCATCAACCAGAAGATATAGATCTCCATGCCTTCCACCTTAGTATCAGCAATGTCTGTGTCATGGTGGGTTATATAGCTGCCTGAGCTGTTAATGTTTCCTAAGAAGGCTCTCCTTAATGAGCATAATTTTGGAGCCACCTCCAGTACACACACAGCCTATGTTACCCCAGAGGGCCTGTTCTGCTCTGTCAACCCGCACAATGCCTGACGATGGGAACATCATCTTGTTCACATACTTGACAAAACCTATTTGGAGACTTTTTCTACCGTTAATGTGATCTGCATTCTGTACAATGCGCCTCATTCTATCTCTGAGATCCATTTTTCCTGATATCTCTTTTTACTCTGTTTAAGATCTTTTGTTTCTCTCTTTTTCTCTTTTCCACTTCTCTTTTATCATCTTCTTTCATTCTCTTTCTGCTCACTTACTTTCTTCCACAAATTTTGTGTGGAGAAATTGGAACCAAGATACGATAGTAATGTCCTTTTACACGCTACACACCCAAATCGCTGAAATCGCAAACTCTTGCTCACACATGTGAATGCAGATGTCCACGGTGCTGTTCTGTATACTTACTGCAAAGTTTCTGGCTGCAAACTATTGAAGGCAGAGAAAGGAGACAAAAATTTATAAAAAAGTGGTGGTAACCAAGAGCTATGTCAGACTAAATATGCTCCGTATGTACGTCCTAGTTTCAGGGAAGAGAAATCCTTTCTCTCTCCCAGATATGCTTGCAGAATTATTTGTTGATACATTTATTTGTCTTTATGGCTCCTGCAGATACTGCCAGTTTATCATGATGACTGAAGTCATTCTGGATAACCACCCCCTAGCACTGCATGGTATTTGATCTTTTTTGTGTATTTTCTTATGTGAAAGTGTATTAGATTACATTCAAATTTGCATGTATTTGACCAGGAAGTACAAAATGCAGCAGAGAGACATAAATCATTAAGAAAATCAAATAACTAATGTTGTTCCCACTGTTTATGAATTCCAATATTCCACATACCTCTAAATTTAGATATCAGATACACTTTTAATATGTTATCCTTGTTAGGCAACTGAAGATTTCACATTTTGGCTTGATTTTTAGATCAGCACAGTCATCAAACAATCAATATTTGTTCATGATAGTTTTTTTTATATTGTCTCATCCTGTAAGCCTCTGACGTTTTGAGTATTGCTGAGTAACTTCATGTCACCAAACCCCAAACAAAAATTATGTGTCTTCAGACATAAAAAATGCAGTGCGAAGGAGAACAGGTATCAACTCCTGTTTAGATGGACTTGTGGCTCTTGGTGCAGAAACTAGATGGAGAGACAAAGTCAACAGAACTAC